CAGTAGCACCACTCACCATCACCAAGACTCCTCTGTACATATGGCAGCCAGTAGCGGAACCTAAGCAGCCCGTCCACGACCCTGATGCTGTAGTCCTCCGTCACGTACTCCAGCTCCCGGAACATCACTTTGCCCGTCACCAGCGACAGTGAAAACGATCCTGCACAACCAAATTTGAATCACTAATTAGTTCTAAATTGTAGATACATGTGAGGACAAATTTTTCACAAATCCATATTAAAAAGATTTAATTATACATATATAACTAAATGCTTTAGTTTTATGCTTAGTCTTAATCTTTACACTCAACATTAGAAAATTTGTAATTCATCCACAACACCAGAAGAATATTATCGGGAACCCGCCCCCTGCCACTCACCCACAGACACGTGGTGTCGCCGCACAAACCGACGCAGCAGAGCAGTGAGCAGGGCACCCTGCAGCCGTGAGTTGTAGAGTGTGAGGTACACGGTCCAGCATACGGCCAGCAGAACGGCCAGGGTCAGGTAGCCGTATAAGGGGTGCTGAAATTAACGGGTAATACAGAGTGTGAGGTACACGGTCCAGCATACGGCCAGCAGAATGGCCAGGGTCAGGTAGCCGTATAAGGGGTGCTGAAATTAACGGGTAATACAGAGTGTGAGGTACACGGTCCAGCATACGGCCAGTAAAACGGCCAGAGTCAGGTAGCCGTATAAGGGGTGCTGAAATTAACGTGTAATACAGAGTGTGAGGTACACGGTCCAGCATACGGCCAGGGTCAGGTAGCCGTATAAGGGGTGCTGAAATTAACAGGTAATAGTATAGAGGTAATAATACAGAGGTCACCTTATATGAATAAAAAATGGAGTTTAATTTTGCCCTTCTGTCTGTAAGGTCATGTTAGGATAATAAATCAAACATGGAACATTCCTTAAATACTTTATATACCTATTCCATTTATTTAGGAAAATTTAAAACTCATAACAATTAATGCTTACATAAGGTTCACTTGTCACTTATTTCAATGTACGTAAATGACATATAAAGTAGTGAAGACTGAAGGGCACTGACTATTTCATTATATAATAATGAAACCTATTTGAAAACAAAACTAATTCTTACATTTACAAAATTGTCTGCCAAATCCTTCAAGTTGAACTTTGATTCATTCAACGCCGGCATGATGGTGGGTGTGGTGAGGAGGGATGACATTGTTGAAGACAACACAGCTGGCAAATGTGTAGATGGTGCAGAAACTGAAGACAGTGATGCAGGAGTTGTCCCCACATGCAGTGTTGGAAAGATGTCACCATCATCTCCCTCCATTTTGATAACAAACTAATTCTACACACTATCAAAGATACCTTGTCAGGTTAAATGTCTACATCCCTAAAATATCTGAAACACAAGTCATGAGCCTAAATTGTTCAAGAAAAAATAATAAATTACACTGGACATGCAGATGGCAATGCAAAGTCAAATTTAATTATATATATTTATGACCATTTCAGATTAAAGTTTACTTAACTATTTATAACCTGTCTTTAGGATACATTTGTAATCAAAACAGTCAAAATGGCAGACATCAAATCTTGAGTTGCAATGCAGGATCTACATCTACTTTCCATTTGAAATTCAGAAGTGGCAGGAAAGTCTAGTCATGGCTAAAAAAAATTGATGTTCAGTATTAGTATTATAATTATTCTTTTTGAAAAATGTATTTTAAATTAAAATATTCCATGCCTGCCTAATCTGGAATATTGGACAAAATTTTCCAAAATCCCTGGTATAAAGATTGTTTCACTGTTTTTTTCCAAAATTGCCGGTGAAAATGTATTTTTTTACAGTTTTTACTAAAAAATTAATCTAAATCTATAGGAACGGCTCAAATAAAATGAGTAAAAGGTACACAAAATAGGATTTTTTGTCTCATTCATCAATGTTCTTTACCTAATTTTCCAGTTTCCAAAAATCCCCCATGTTGTTTTAGAAAGCAACATTGGAAATTCAGCCTGATACTGTACATTGCACGTTTTACATAGGCTGATTACGCAAGATTATGTTGAGTATATACATACCATCAAACACGGTAATAAAGAATGGTTTTGAGCAATTTTCCTTAATAACTTCTTACCATGAAACATTTCATAAACGAGTTTGGGCTCATTTCAAGGTATTTGCACGGGCTATCAAATGGCATCTCTGAAAAAATTCCATATGTTATGTGTAAGGTGCCAGACACAAAATAAATGCCTCCTGAACTAACCCTGGGAATGGGGTAATAAGGGAAACTTGCAATAAAACTTAATTTTAAAGCGTTTGAAGCATGCAAAGTGTACTCGGATTTGGATTTGGGGCATGGTGACTCTGAGAGAAAGAATTTCAGGGTCAGGCCTTTGCAACAGCCATCAGCCACGCATCACATTTTCATTTGTTAGTAAGAAGGAGGAAGGGAGACCAAGCCAGGTGGAAGCAACATTAAAGAGAAGAGGCTAGAAGAGGTGTGAAAGTTTGTGTTAAGGTTGAGAAGTAATCAAGGGGAAGAGAAGTTCAAGGGGAAATTCATTGGTTTATTATTGCTATTTGTCAATTATTGCACTGTGTATTTGATAATTATATNGTCTCAGCCTGATTAGCTTTATTAATGATCTCTTCCAACTCTGAGACTCTTTTCTTAAGCATACTGTTTTCATCTCTAAGAGCCAGTATGCACTTTCTACAGGCAATGTATGATTGCTTTATTTTTGAGTTTGACCAGTGGTCAATTCCAAGGGTTTGTGTGGAGTACCAGGTTTTGCACCTGGAGCACTCCACTTGGTCAGCTTTGATCTCGCTATTCTCATTGCTAACCACCCGCTTTTTGGCTGGCATTTGTTTGCCCATTATTGAATTGTTGTTGGTTTTATACAGCAATGTGCCTTCTTATACAGCAACTCACACACACCACCAATATTGGAGGGAAAAATATATTCTGCCTAACCTATCAGTTCTGAATTTTTCTTGGATGAAACAGAAAGAAACAACAGCAACAGCCAACACAGAGAGAACAGAACAAACAATACACTTTGAATAAACTATCTTTGGTTAGGGGGCAGGGTGACAACAAAGGGGAAATATTTACATTAGGTACTAGGTATTGTTGCTTGATTTGTTTCACATGGTTACTTTGTTATTATTGGGACTGGGATACAGTGCAAACCAATGTAGGAGAGTAGGTAAGCCTACATCATAGTAGTGAAAAAAAAAGGACAGCAAGAGGCTAGTGAAAGAGAGGTTACTAGGTAGTTTCTGCATGGGACAGGTGACAATTAGAATTATGCAGATTGCAGACTTGCAGTTGCCAAGTAGGTATGGCCGTAGTCAGTAGGGCCTAGTCACACAATTTAGTCAGTTATTCATGACCAACCACGTCCACTAAAGTCCAAAATCACACAATTTCTTATTTTCTTTTAATCACTTCTCACTTTTAATCACTTCTCACTCATGTCTCTTTCAATTACTTCTCTTTCGTTTACTTTCAAGCTAAAACCAGCAAAACGTGGCTGCAGCAGCACCGATCAACCGCGTTCAGCAGCACGCAATCAACTCATCCATTACTAACAGTACTCTGAAGTCTTCCTCTTCCTTTTTAGATGATGCAGATAAAGAATAAATGATATTTTCTGTGATTTTTACTTGTTTTACCTTTATTGATATGATATTGCAATGTTCATACATTATTATTGATGTGATATTACCTAATCCATGGATATGCCATTGAGCATAGACAACAACCTTGTCCACTGCAAGCTTCATATCAGCAGCCAAGTAGCACTTCTTCTGTAGATACCTAAGCTTACAAGTTACAGGACGGCTTTTAATTTTGCACCATTTTCATTGAGTCAAGTGAATTCACTATAACAGAAAAAGATCATAAAAAACATACCTGAAACAGAAAGGAATATTTTAGTGACACTGACAACCATCATATTTGAGAAAAAAAAACATAGTTTAGGTTAACTACTTTTTATTCTATGTTGCCCGGTATGACATTCTATGCACAGTATTGTGATAGGGTAAACGCGGTATATTCCGACATCGTGGGTAATTCCGTCACCTCTCTAGTTTTTCCTTTATATTAAGCTTTATTTTAGTTCCATGCGTTCGTTGATGGTTGAAATGGTGACGTCATACATTTGCGCGTCGAACTAATGCCAAAACACTAGGTCTTGGCCATCTAGCGGGAAAATATTGAGATCCAAAGAGAGATAATGCACACTACCCAGTGAGATCATCGAAAAATGTGTCAAATTTGACAGTTGACCTTGCTCCACCAAATAGTGAATAACTGTTTGTATAGGAAGAATATTATGGTTTGAGACTTTTAAATACGTCTGTGAATATATTAGGAATCCATTAAGTATACCGTACTTGTATTCGCTGATTTCAAGTAGTAAATAAATTAATAGATGATTAAGTTGAGAAATGGATTTTGACACATGAAAACTAATTCCGTCACAACTTGAATTGGACACACACAGATCATTCCAATCTATGTACAAAAATTAAAATTTTCTTAATTAAAAGCTTAATAGTTGTTAATTAAAAGCGTAATTAAGTAGTGTTCAATATTCATTAATGTTCTAATTCAAAGCCGTGTTGTATTCCAATACAGCTCACACAGCGAACGGAATTCGAACACGTGGATGACGGCATTCTGTATCAGTAGATTAGTAGAATTTGAAGTGCGGACGGAATACGCCTGACGCCTCACCACATGCCCAATATTGCCACACACAGTGACGGAAAATAGGGATTTGGTAGGTTTGCATTCTAAAGACTTTTACATAAATATGGCAACATTTTGTGATGTTTCATTGTTGCCGACGCGCGACGCGTACTGCGGTGTTTTGAGAGTTACCTAAAGCACAGAACTTGAGTAACGCATACGGTTATTTTTTCATAGTTTTTCATTTCTCGATGCGTCCTTAATGTGACGGAATATACCGCATTTATCCTAAGTAGAATTTTTTAATACAGCAAATATTTTTTTTGCTACAGACCTTAGCAGGGGTTGGACGATTGTGCTGTCGGTGGAAGTTGTCTCAACTCTCAAGGCCAAGAGGTGGACTGTTGCAAACGATTTAGCTCTTAGCAAAGCTCCAGCCAGTAGCCACGTCATATTTTTGAATGATAGGCTGGCCGCCGGCTAGTATGGAATATATCTACTTGGCGAGCCATAGTGGCAAACCAGAGATTTTTTAGAATCAGTTCATTTTTAATTTCCTCATCTACTCAATATTTTAATCAATTTCTTATGTATGAAAATGCTGGTATCCAAGATACTTTCAAATGCGAATTTATTTACAAAGTTTATGCACGTGTTACCCCAAATCTCTAATTTTACCCTTAAACAGTAAAACGGCAACAATAAAATTTGTCTCTACTGTAAGTTCAGCACGTGTTAATATACAGTCTGACCGCTTTGACATGACCGCAACTATGCGCGATCTTCAACAAATGTTTTGTTTCTTTGTTTACATTACGATGTTTATGTTTTTTCTGCAGGATATTTTTGGCGGAAACGGTAAAGCAATGCGGATTGCGGAAGTTGAAAATTTTATGAAATGACATGTTTGCAAAGTGCAAACCGCGATTTTTTAATCAAACAAAAATTTATGACATTCGAGCCGCGAGATTTCATACCTACTGAAATTATATGATATTAGAGCTGCGATATTTCAGACAAAAATAGGACATTTCCAGACTAGGCCGCCGGTACTCCGGAT